CCTGATTATTTCCCATTTTCGAGGATTTTTCCCAATAATTCCCTGATTATTCCCCATTTTCGAGGATTTTTCCCAATAATTCCCTGATTATGTCCCATTTTTGAGGATTCTTGAGGGTTTTTCCCAATAATTCCCCGATTATTCCCCATTTTCCAGGATTTTTCCCGATAATTCCCTGCCTATTCCCCGTTTTCGAGGCTCCTTTCCCCGACTGTTGGGAATTCCCGGCCGGAATTCCTACCTGAAGGGGGGATTTTCCCCGTTGATCCAAACCCACTTCCCTTTCTCCTCCCGGTCCGTCATTCCCAGCCAGTAGGAGCTGCTCCGGTTCGTGTTTTCCAGCAGGAATTCCTGGAAAAACAGCCCCAAACCTCCGGAATTCCCGGCGATTCCGCAGCAGTTTTTTTGGGGGGGATTAAGTTGTGGGAATTCCAGGCTGGGAATTCCAGGGAGGGAATCAGAGGAGGGGAATTCCAGAGTAGGGACTGCAGGGTGGGAATTCCAGAGTGGGAATTCCAGGAGGGGAATTTCAGAGTAGGGATCTCCAAGTGGGAATTCAGGGAGGGAATTCCGGAGTGGGAATTCCAGGGTGGGAATCCCAGGGCAGGAAAATTCCAGGGTGGGAAGTCCGGAGTGGGAATTCCATCAAATAGGAATTTCAGGGTGGGAATTCCATGAAATGGGAATTGCACAGTGGGAATTCCAGGGTAGGAAAATTCCAGAGTGGGAATTCCAGGACAGGAAAATTCCAGGGTGGGAAAATTCCAGGGTGGGAAAATTCCAGAGTGGGAATTCCAGGGTGGGAATCCCAGGATGGGAATTCCAGAGTAGGAAAATTTCAGGGTAGGAAAATTCCAGGGCGGGAATTCCAGGGTGGGAAAATTCCAGGGTGGGAAAATTCCAGGGTGGGAAAATTCCAGAGTGGGAATTCCAGGGCGGGAATCTCAGGATGGGAATTCCAGAGTAGGAAAATTTCAGGGTGGGAATTCCAGGGTGGAAATTGCAGGGTGGGAATTGCAGAGTGGGAATTCCAGAGTGGGAATTCCAGGGTGGGAAAATTCCAGGGTGGGAAAATTCCAGGGTAGGAAAATTCCAGGGTGGGAATTGCAGAGTGGGAATTGCAGGGCGGAAATTCCAGGGTGGGAAAATTCCAGGGTGGGAAAATTCCAGAGTGGGAAAATTCCAGGGTGGGAAAATTCCAGGGCGGGAATTCCAGGGCGGGAATTGCAGGGCGGGGCCCTTGGGGGGTGGGACTGGGGAGGAAACGGCGGGAATGTTTTCCCGAACCTGCTCTTCCTCGGAGTTGACGACGACCAGGTGGGAGCCCAGGTCGGCACAGGCTTCCCGAGCCTCCTCCCAGCTCCAGGATTCCCAGGAAAAGGAGTAGCAGCTCTTCCCGAAAAGCTGCCACCCCGCCGAGCAGCGCCGGGAGCCCTCCAGGCTCCGGCACAGCAGCCCTGGAATGCCGGGAATTCCCAGAGCCGGGAATCCCGCGGAGACGGGGAGGAGAGAATGGGTGGGGGGGAAATGGGGGGAGTCAGGAGAAATTCCCAAAATTCGGGGGGAAATCAGGAGAAATTCCCAAAATCCAGGGGGAAAAATAGGGGAGAAATCAGGAGAAATTCCCAAAATCCAGGGGGGGAAATCAGGAGAAATTCCCAAAATCCAGGGGGAAAAATAGGGGAGAAATCAGGAGAAATTCCCAAAATCCAGGGGGGGAAATCAGGAGAAATTCCCAAAATCCAGGGGGAAAAATAGGGGAGAAATCAGGAGAAATTCCCAAAATCCAGGGAAAAATCCCGGAGACACCCCCCCCGCCCAGTTTTCCCATCCCACTCACCCCCGCGGCGGTTTCAGGGGGGGAATTCCAGGCGGGAATGCCGGAATTGCCGGCGGGAATTCCCGGGAATCACCTGTGACCTCCTGGAGCTCCTGGAAGTGCTGCTGGATCCACCCCCGGAGCCGCGTCTGCCGTCGCTGTGCTGCTGCCAGCTCCCGGAGCACTGGGACCAGTATGGGCCAGTATGGACCAGTACAGACCAGTAACACCCAGGGACCTCCCAGTACAGCCCAGTGCCCTCCCAATCCAGCCCAGTCCATCCCAGTGCATCCCAGTCCATCCCAGTGCATCCCAGTCCATCCCAGTCTGCCGCCGCTGCGCCGCCGCCAGCTCCCGGAGCACTGGGACCAGTAGGGACCAGTATGGACCAGTAACACCCAGGGAACTCCCAGTCCAGCCCAGTGCCCTCCCAATCCATCCCAGTCCATCCCAGTCCATCCCAGTCCATCCCAGTCCATCCCAGTCCATCCCAGTCTGCCGCCGCTGTGCTGCTGCCAGCTCCCGGAGCACTGGGACCAGTATGGACCAGTATGGACCAGTATGGACCAGTAGGGACCAGTAACACCCAGGGACCTCCCAGTACAGCCCAGTGCCCTCCCAATCCATCCCAGTGCATCCCAGTCCATCCCAGTCCATCCCAACCCATCCCAGTCTGCGGCCGCTGCGCCGCCGCCAGCTCCCGCACTGGGACCAGTAGGGACCAGTATGGACCAGTAGGGACCAGTAGGGACCAGGATGGACCAGTAGGGACCAGTAACACCCAGGGACCTCCCAGTACAGCCCAGTGCCCTTCCAATCCAGCCCAGTCCATCCCAGTCCAGCCCAGTCCAGCCCAGTCCATCCCAGTCTGCCACTGCTGTGCCACCGCCAGCTCCCGGAGCACTGGGACCAGTAGGGACCAGTATGGACCAGTAACACCCAGGGACCTCCCAGTCCAGCCCAGTGCCAGCCCAGTGCCCTCCCAGTCCATCCCAGTCTGCCGCCGCTGCGCCACTGCCAGCTCCCAGAACACTGGGAATGATGATCCCAGTATGGACCAGTATGGACCAGTAACACACAGTGCCCTCCCAGGGGCCTCCCAGTACAGCCCAGTGCCCTCCCAGTGCTCCCACTGCCCTTCCAGTGCCCTCCCAGTACATCCCAGTGCCCTCCCAGTAACCCCTGCCTGGTTCCCCAGTGGTCCCAGTTCCCTCCCAGTGCTCCTAGTTCCCTCCCAGTTCCCTCCCAGTTCCCTCCCAGTGCTCCCAGTTCCCTCCCAGTACATCCCAGTTCCCTCCCAGTGCTCCCAGTTCCCTCCCAGTACATCCCAGTTCCCTCCCAGTACATCCCAGTTCCCTCCATGTGCTCCCAGTTCCCTCCCAGTTCTCTCCCAGTACATCCCAGTGCCCTCCCAGCACATCCCAGTTCCTTCCCAGTGCTCCCAGTTCCCTCCCAGTTCCCTCCCAGTGCTCCCAGTTCCCTCCCAGCACATCCCAGTGCCCTCCCAGTGCTCCCAGTTCCCTCCCAGTACATCCCAGTTCCCTCCCAGTGCTCCCAGTTCCCTCCCAGCACATCCCAGTGCCCTCCTAGTTCCCTCCCAGTACATCCCAGTTCCCTCCCAGTGCTCCCAGTTCCCTCCCAGCACATCCCAGTGCCCTCCCAGTTCCCTCCCAGTACATCCCAGTTCCCTCCCAGTGCTCCCAGTTCCCTCCCAGCACATCCCAGTGCCCTCCCAGTTCCCTCCCAGTG